GCTGAATATATTCCTATATGTATGGAAAAGCTACCTAGGGCAAAGGTCAGGTCATATCTAACTATCACACCTTTTCCGTTTAAGTTCAGAAATCGTGTATGGGTGAATAGAAAGGGGCAAAGTCCAGAGAAGGGTTAGCTTAAAACTAAATCAGAAGGTTTGAATACAATGAAGTCAATCTCTGGGAACTTAGTTTCACTCCAGAAGAGAGAACCGGTTCACCCGAGCCAACTGAGTTTAGAATCCAGATAGGAATATGACTGCGGCCTACCCATCCACTGTTGATGCTATCAGTCTCACATCACATGACATGTTTTGCACACACAGGTGGCAGTTAATGTGCTTCTTCCACAGGAGGATGGCTTTTTTTTGGGATCTTCCCGCAATAAGTTAGAATTTGTCTTGGTAAATTCTGTACCAAGGGATATTTTATAGAGCAAAAGAGGGAATTTAAATCTGAGTAACAAGCAATAGCTAAAATAAAAAGGATTTAGCAGTAGAACTGTTAGAATCTATAGTGAATTATGCAGAAAAATGGCAAGCCGAAACTCTGTCTATTAGGATATGGATCATTAGAGCTTGAATGGAGAATACCTCAGTATCAAAGAGGAAATGGAAAATAACCTTTATATTATTTTTCTCATTGTTTTTTAACTTTACACTATTAGTTTTCTTTTCAGTTATTTTTAATTGATATACGCTTACACCCTAAAAGAGTATTCATTTAAATTTGATTTTTTTTGAGCACATCTCTCCTTCTTTTTTGCTGGTTCTCACACAGCATGAAGGTGTAGGGCTGTCAGGTCGTTAAACTGATAAGAGTAAATGATGGCCCAGTGCTTTCTGCCATTAGAGGCCAACTGAGTAAGAGGAGAAAACAATCACCTTGCTGTGTATAGAAATTACAGAGCAATATGGAATACACGACCCCCTTGAGAAAACCCTTGGGGAAGTTGTTTATTTTTTTAACTGAAACAACTTTTTATGAATCAGAGAAATGATTTATACTTGATTTTAGCTATATTGTTGAGATTAATACCTCAGCAATCTACCAAGAGGATTTGAACCTGCCTAGCGGGGAAACTTCAGTCACAGTGCCTCAAGTGAAGCCAAGTCCTGGACCCAGGAAACCTGTGCAGCATGGATCAGCGGCTGAGTCACCTGTACCCCTGTGGAGGATGATGTTTCTTCCAGCTCTGTGGGACAGGCTGCATCTCTACCCGCTGAGCCACTCAGATCGCAGTGGATTTCCCAAAAAGGATGACGACTACCTGATAACTGCATGGTCAGATATCAGACGCCAGGTAGCAGCAACCCTACCACTGGTCCACTTCACCATCTCCAACCCGGCGACTTCGTGCTGGTCAAGGACTTCCGGAGAAAGAGCTGGAAATCCAACCGTTGGCAAGGTCCCTACCAGGTGCTCCTCATCACCCAGACAGCGGTCAAGGTCACCTAGAGAGCCACGTGGGTCCATGTCAACCACTGCAAGGTCGTAATCACAGGCCAGGAGAGACGGTAGAAACAGACGACAACAAGTGACGTGTCCTAGTCACCAACGGAAGACGACAACAAGTGACGTGTCCAAGTCACCACCAGCACCACAGTGGCACCACATACACCTAATCTCACACTGCACACACAGGATGTCATGAGCGAGTGCCAGCTAAGCTGTTTCATATGCCTCTGGTTCCTCGTTTGTGCTATCATTGTGTGGGGACTCATTGACCTTGTCACAAAGTCAGGACCGATTATTAACGAGGTCTAGAAAATCCATAACAAATGTCGACCGAGTTATCTGGCCTTTCGTTTGGAGAGGTCGTCCAGCGAAAAACTGCAACCCCTCCATGGTCAGGGTCAAGGATTTACATCAGATAGCAACATGGATTTAGGAGTCTACACTGGAACAACAGATGGGCCCCTCGCTCGAGAACATTCCAGTGAGGTACCATGTTTTCGGTGTTTTTCACACCAGGTTCATCAAAAGGTCGTCCTGATTACACATACTGAAGAACTTTTCATGATATTGATGCTTGAAGTTTTACGGATGTAATATGTATGTGTTTTTATCTGTTGCTATTTGATAACTTTGCATTTTAAAAAGTGGGTGTTGAGATCATAGTATGAAGTGAATACTTAAAACGAAAGTTAATTATAAATCATATATGATCAATCATATTCTTGTATAACCCCATAATGAGAATGCTTCTTGATGGTTTTTTAATATGTATGTATGCTTACAATTTTTTCTGTTATTTGATAACTTTGCGTTTTGAAAAGAGGGTGTTGAGAGTTTTCATAGTATGTTTAATACTTAAAACGAAAGTTAGTTATAATCAATTATATTCTTGTATAACCCACAATGAAAATGCTTCATATTTTAGGTTTTTCTATAGTTACAGTATAAACAAAACCAAGTGGTTTGTTAAGTTGAGTGTAAGGCCTTTAAGAGATATGGGTGTCTCTGATAAGAGAGGAGGCCGTTTTTTCCCTCTCCTCTGACAGCAGTTCACAGGGAGGGGGGCTCCTTACTGAAGGAAAAAACATTGAGGCGTCAAAAAGTTGGTTATGATAGCCATAGAACATGTCGAGTCATGTCCAGCCCTGTAAATTAGAGGCCATGCCCAGTTTTCCACAAATTGGGTGTGGAGGAGGGGTTTGTTCTTTGGGGTTTCGATCCGGTTTTTTGAGCATAAAGAGACTGGTTTTTTTGAGAGAGAGGGGGGTTTCCCCTGGTAGACTCTCTCCCGGTAGGCTTTGTCCTTCAGAGCTGGGTTAATAGCTCTCGGTAAGGTCCTCTCACACGTGGTAAATATCTCTCGAATTTATTGGTTGTTGGCTGAGTGGAATGATTTGATGAGAGATGTGTTTGTGAATATTATAACCTGCCACCTGTGAGGAATCTTCCTCCGAATTATTGCGGACAGGAATGGGTTTTTAAATGTTAATCCGCCGTCTGTGTCGGAAAAAGTGTATGAATATTATAACCCGCCACCTGTGAGGAATCTTCCTCCGAATTAATTGCGGATAGGAACGGGTTTTTGAATGTTATACCCGCCGTCTGTGTCGGAAAAAAGGTATGAAACTGATGTGAATTGATTTGGTGAATGAAAAGTTGAATGCGCTTTTTATTGTCACCGGTCTTTTTATGAGGAAATACCTCTAAATTCTATCGGGAGATTTTAAAATGTCACAACTGAATTGGGCAGTTGAAATTAAACATTTTGGTAATGAATGTAAGACTGTGAATTAAAATTTTATATTTGAACATGATCACAGCACCATTTTTTTTTTAGTATGATTATAATGTTGTAAAGAGAGAAGGTAAAAACCCTGTATTAGTTTGGACCTATTTTTCTTCAAATAAACTGATCCCACCTTTTGGACTGGGATAACTTAAAAGACAACCTGTGCTCTCCTCTCCTGCTTCAAAGGTAAGACTGCACCCTGCCACACACATTTAGGTAGGAGCACACTCCATTTACTGATATCAAAATCCTTCGGGATCCCTTAAACAGATTAAAAAGTTGTCTGAATTGAAACAGCAGTTAATTGAACCTGGTTCTTCGGGGGGGTTAGGAAGAGGTGAGATCTTGCTGACTTTGGTGGATCTGAGCCAAGCAGCAAACTTACATGGACTCAATAACTTCGGTCAAGTCAATTGGTAGGTCAGAGTAATTTACCGGAATAAATTATCAGGACCTCTCCGACTCTAAACAAGCCCTCCAAGAAGCTGTAGTGCTGAGATAGATTTGGGTATCATCAGCATAGCAGTGGAAGTTGAGTCCGTGATGGCAGATGATCTGGCCGAGGGGGAATATGTCAATGGTGAACAGTAGGGGGCCAAGCACAGAGCCTTGGGGGACACCATGATTGACTGGGGCTGGGGGGGAATTCGAGCCATTGATGGTAACAAACTGTTCCCTGTTGTGGAGGTAGGATGCGAACCAGGAGAGGGCGGTGCCAGTGACACCTAGTGACACCCAGACTCAACTTCCCTGATTGCTCCCACAGGATTGTTGTTGTCGTGGATTCATGCTCATAGACACATGCATTTCGAAACATTTGGTCTACCTACGCTGTAAAATGTATTATCTCTTCGATTTACACACGGCATCTATTGCACGTCTGTCCGTCCTGGGAGAGGGATCCCTCCTCTGTTGCTCTCCCTGAGGTTTCTCCCATGTTCCCCTTTAAACTGTGGGTTTTCTCCGAAAGTTTTTCCTTGTACAATGTGAGGGTCTAACGACAGAGGGTGTCGTATTGGCATACTGATATTTTGTACAAACTGTGAAGTCCACTGAGACAAATGTAACATTTGTGATATTGGGCTATATAAATAAACATTGATTGATTGACCTAGGAGGTCAGATAGGCGGTTGAGGAGGATGGTGTGGGAGATAGTGTCAAACGCTGCAGAGAGGTCCAGGAGGATGAGGATGCTGTGGCGGCCAGAGTCAGCAGCAATGAGGAGATCGTTGATGATCTTGATGAGGGCGGTCTCCGTGCTGTGATGAAGTCTGAAGCCGGATTGGAGGGGCTCATAGAGCTCATAGCTGGACATGTGCAGATGGAGTTGGCCGGCAACTACTCTTTCCAGAGTCTAGAGTCTGTAGTTGCAATAAGGAATTTCCCCCCAAATGTCAACAAGTTTCAAATAAAGAGGCAAGCACATGGTAATAAACTAAACAACACACATTGTTTTTGATGTTTTTTAGGAAAGTACATTAACTTTACTTGGAGATCTGAAGAAAATTGAGGATATTTCATAGCTTTATGTCTAAATACTCTTACTGCAGCTTGTTAATGACAGATAACACACCCTGCCTCTCACACAAAGATTTGTTGAATGCAGTTAAACCCGTTCGCCTTGCTTCCTGCTCCCAAACACACTGAGCTACACCCAATCAAGGTATTTCAATGTTCCCGCCCCTTCAAAGGTTGGCAACATGTTAAAAGAGAAAGCTGTTTCCTCATTCCTCATTCTCTGCATTGAGCGAGCAAAAGCAGGAGGAGAGGAGATTTGTTGTCCGTCAGAGATTGTTTCTGTTCAGAGAAAGTGGATCTTTTACCTTCTGTCTGCAGTCCGTGACTATCACTGAGAGGTGAGATGGCGCAGGGAGGAGTTCAGCTGGACCGGGAAACCTTCTCTTGTTCCATCTGTCTGGATCTAATGAAGGATCCGGTAACTATTCCCTGTGGACACAGCTACTGCATGGACTGTATCAAACACCACTGGGATGGAGAGGATAGGAAGAAAGTCCACAGCTGCCCTCAGTGTAGAAAGAGCTTCAAACCGAGACCTGTCCTGCTGAAGAACACCATGTTAGCAGATTTAGTGGAGGAGCTGAAGAAGACTGGACTTGAAGAAGCTCCTGCTGATCACTGCTATGCTGGAGCTGAAGATGTGGCCTGTGATGTCTGCACTGGGAGAAAACTGAGAGCCTGTAAGTCCTGTCTGCAGTGTTTGGCCTCTTATTGTGACAAACACCTCCAGCCTCACTTTGACGCAGCTACGTTTAAAAAACACAAGTTGGTGGAGCCCTCCAAGAATCTCCAGGAGAACATCTGCTCTCGTCACGGCGAGGTGATTAAGCTGTTCTGCCGCACTGATCAGCAGAGTATCGGTTATCTCTGCTCTGTGGACGAACACAAAGGCCACGACACAGTGTCAGCTGCAGCAGAGAGGACTGAGAGGCAGAGAGAGCTGGAGGGGAGTCGACTAAACATCCAGCAGAGAATCCAGGACAGAGAGAAGGAGGTGAAGCTGCTTCAGCAGGAGGTGAAGGCCATCAATGGCTCTGCTGATAAAGCAGTGGAGGACAGTGAGAAGATGTTCACTGAGCTGATCCGTCTCATGGAGAAAAGAAGCTCTGATGTGAAGCAGCAGGTCAGATCCCAGCAGAAGAGAGAAGTGAGTCGAGTCAAAGAGCTCCAGAAGAAGCTGGAGCAGGAGATCTCTGAGCTGAAGAGGAGAGACGCTGAGCTGAAGCTGCTGTCTCACACAGAGGATCACAACCAGTTTCTGCACAGCTACCCCTCACTGCCAGCCCTCAGTGAAGCTACACACTCCTCCAGCATCAACATCCGTCATCTGAGCTACTTTGAGGACTTGACGGCGGCCCTGTCAGCAGTCAGAGACAAACTACAGGACGTCCTGAGAGAGGAATGGACAAACATCTCACCGACTGAAGTGGATGTTTTACTGCCAGCAGCAGAACCCACCACCAGAGCTGGGTTCTTAGAATATTCACAGGGAATCACTCTGGATCCAAACACAGCACACACACAGCTGGTATTATCTGAGGGGAGCAGAAAAGCAACATACATCTATCAACAACAGTCTTATTCTAGTAACCCAGACAGATTCACTGATTGGCCTCAGGTCCTGAGTAGAGAGAGTCTGACTGGACGTTGTTACTGGGAGGTGAAGTGGAGAGGGAGAAGAGTTTGTGTAGCAGTCTCATACAAGAATATCAGCAGAGCAGGTGGGGGGAAAGAATGTAGATTTGGATTCAATGACAAATCCTGGGCGTTAGAGTGTAAACAAAACAGTTATACATTTCTTTACAACAGTACCATCACTCCCGTTTCAGGTCCTCAGTCCTCCAGAGTAGGAGTGTACCTGGATCACAGAGCAGGTATTCTGTCCTTCTACAGCATTTCTGAAACCATGACTCTCCTCCACAGAGTCCAGACCACATTCACTCAGCCGCTACTTGCTGGAGTTCGTTTTATGGTTATGGAAACACAGCTGAGTTGTGTAAACTGAAATAGCCTGAAGTCATTTGAGGAAATGTCTACTTAAACTCATTGTGTGTCCATCTTATGGCTGTCCCGAATACCATTTTACGGGCTCCGGATATTCGGTAGTAATCAGCAGTGAATATTCTGATATTCGGTGCGCACGGGGGGAAACTTCATTTTTCAGAAGGTTCGGTTTGCGTTCACACAGGCTAAATTCAAACGGACTATAAACTTTAAACACAAGTCATATGCACGGAAATGCGGTTCAACAAACATATGATTATACAATCAGACAACATGTGATAAAAAACATAACCCATATGAGAGACGTTCTGCAGTAAGGAGGGGCGTTTCACCGACGGCAGGTGGCTCTGACTTTTATGTATAGTTGACAGAGCATTTTTACTTTACACGACACTGTTCAACACTTCATTCGGCTTCACTCTTTCGCTAAAGATTTTAAAGATATCCGCGTTCTTGTGACGCGTAAATACTACGCTTCCTATGTTTTGGTGCGGATTGCATTCACACCAGCGATGAACCGCTCCAGAGTTCACTAGCAAGCGGTCCGAGACCACTTTTAAGCGGACCAGAGTCCGGTTGTTTAGTTCACTTCAGAGGTCTCGGACTGTGTTCACACCGACCCAACCGAACCGCACCAAGCGGGTAAACGCACCAGGGCTAGATTCAACGTAAATTCGACCTAAGTCTATAACGTCTTCTTGTTTTTTTAAACCAATATCCGAATAACGAAATTGAAAACCGAATAGTAGGCCAACGACCAAAAATGTGGATATTCGGGTACAGCCCTAGCCCATTACTGTTGCTGAGAGCTGATTGTTCATGTCTTCACTGCACAGAGACCAGCTGTCAATCAAACATTATGGGATGTGCTTTAACATCTTCTCATGAGTTGTTCTGTAGATGTTGGAGTTTCTTTAGGCGGCGCTCCTTCCTGTGTCTGTTTAGCCATGGAGGCTGTCACTGCTCAGGAGCATTTCTGTTAACCTCAACTGATATTTCTCTGCATTGAAATATAAACTTTGCTCCAAATATTTGTTGAATATTGATGTATTTGTATTTTGTTGTTTCTCTTGTAAAGCTTGAGAGAGAGAAAGCACCAGAGCTTCTTTCATTGTAGATATTTTATTCTAAATGTATTACATTTGTTACTAAGTCTCAATGTGTTGAATGCATAAAGGACATTTTGAAGAAGGAAATAACACACATTAAAAGAAAAGCCAACAGGATGAGTTTGCAATAAATTGTGTTTCTATTTTCAAGATGTGAGATGAGTGCCACATTTACGTGTCTGTACAAAATAAAATGTTGGGATTTTTCTTGTTAATAAAAAAGCTGAGAGGACAAAATTGAAAGTCTGAGTCTTCTGTTTTGTTTATTTGAAAAATATCTCTAAATAATTTTTCGGAAACAAGATATTTGCATTTTTTATTTATTAGTTAATAAAAATAATAATAAATTCAGATTTTCATTTATTTTCAGAAAAACATGTGAACATCTTTGAGTAAACCCTGCACATGTTTCGTCAGGTTGGTGTAGTCTCTTCATTTGCATTTGTTTTGGCACATTGCTGTTAATATGTTTCATTGTTATTGAAGCCGCAGCACGTTACTCCTAATGTAAGTCTTTGGGCCGTTGTGGCGAGATTGCACCTGCCGGCCACCGTAGTTTGCACATCTGAAACTTAATCATCGAGTTTAAAGTAATAAAAGTTAAAATACATTTCTTCTTGTTCTTCAGAGAGTGATAAAAAACTGCTTCAACACTTTTTAGACCGTAAAACCGGGATGACATTGAAACCAGAGCTGAAAAAGCATCACGTTAGCAGCTTTAGCGGAGAAACAGAAGAGTTGAAGAAGCTCCTGCTGATCACTGCTATGCTGGAGCTGAAGATGTGTCCTGTCTGGTGTGGTTGGCCTCTTATTGTGACAAACACCTCCAGCCTCATTATGACGCAGCTGCGTTTAAAAAACACAAGCTGGTGGAGCCCTCCAAGAAGCTCCAGGAGAACATCTGCTCTCATCACGACGAGGTGATGAAGATGTTCTGCCGCACTGATCAGCCTATAAATACTCTTACTGTAGCTTGTTAGGCGTGTGGCGCAGTGGATAGAGCCTTGGTGTTGGGATCAGGGGGTCATGGTTCAAACCCCACTGCAATCAGCATGTCGTTGTGTCCCTGAGACCCTTCACCCCAAATTGCTCCTGTGGGGATTGCCCACAGTATTGAGTATGTAAGTCGCTTTGATCAGCTGTCAATCAAACATTATGGGATGTGAGAAAGCACCAGAGCTTCTTTCATTGTAGATATTTTATTCTAAATGTCTTCAGCTTCTGACTAAGTCTCAATGTGTTGAATGCATGAATTACATTTTGAAGAAGGAAATAACACACATCAAAAGAAAAGTCATAAAAAGAAAAACAGTTTGTAAAAGTAGTCCTCTGTACTACTTTGAGGACGTGACAGCAGCCGTGTCAGATCTCAGGGATAAACTACAGGATGTCCTGAAGGACAAATGGACAAACTGGTCATTGTTCACTGGTTCCTCACCTTTTTCATCAATAACATCTTGTTGTTCATGCGTTTATTTGCTTGTTTGTGCCATTTAATTTGAATGAAAGTTCTTGACCAGTGGCCTGTACTACGAATCAGGATTTGGGGTTTACTTCTGGTTTATGTCTTACTGATGTAGATTGTCATGGGAACTCATGCTGAACACAGAAGCTGCTCTGAAGCAATACACAAATATATTTAAAGTCAGATCTACTCGTGCCTTGGATGGGGAAGTGACATTATACATTTGTTTATTTGTGCACTCACAGAGTCTGAGGATCTTTTCGCCATTTGCTCTTCCTAATTTGGAAGTTTCAACTATGTTGCATTCAGCCTGGATTGTGTGTTTAACTTCTTCCATTTCTAACTCTGCCCTTAATGTGTGCGTGCGTGTGGAGATTTGTTGTCGTCGAGGTTCAGGGGTCACTGTCGGTTACGAAACAGGCAGGCTGGGTTTTGTGTTTCCCTCCGGCTCTCTTTTCTCTTCTTCCCCTTTCTTCACTCCAGGTAATCAACAGCTGATCAGTACCTGCTTGTCACCTCCGACTGCCTGCTGATTGGATCCCCTCAGCCTTAGCAGTAATAAAGGAAGCAATCCAAGGTTGCCTTTTATCTCTCTGACCTGCTACTGACTCCAAAGCATCTCTGATTTTGTTAGATTTGGTGATTCTTCTGTGAATCTTGTTACAGTTTATGATTATTGTTAAATGTGTGTGTGGTGGGAGGTTGAGGATATGGGTTAGTTTGGTTTAGCCTCTACATTTCATAGGTACAACTTTGTTAAACACACTAGGTCAGGGGTGGCCAACCAGTCAGAGGTTAAGAGCCACATTTTTTCTATGTTACTGCAAAGAGCCACATCAAACACAGTCACTGATACCGCTTGTTTCCGTTTTTTGTTTTCTGGAGACAAGATTTCAACCACGTCACTGATGCATTTTTGTGGCATTGGGATATATATTTTTTAAATCCTCTGGAGCAGAGAGAGGAGCTGTGGATTATTGATTAATGCATCAGTGTTTCTTAGGGTCAAAAACACTAAACTCACAACTTAAAATGAAAGCGTTTAGTTTATTTAATAAAAGAGCACATGTTCAATGTGAAAAGTGACAGTAGTTATAGATTATTTGCAATTTGGTGCTATATATATATTTAAAAATACAATTATATATATATATTTTTTAAACACCTTGAATTTCAGGGGGGGCGCGGGGCTCCGTTGGCGGGGCGCAGCGCCCCTCCAAGACAATGGTAGGGGAAACACTGGATAGTGTTTAATCAACGATAGGTTTTCCCCCCCTCAAAGGTGATTGGTTCACTGCATCGCAGGTATTATTGTGATTGGCTCTTGGGCCACATCAAAAATTATACGCGCTGTCATCCTCTCATACTGACACCACACATACACAACATACATAACACGGGACGAAAGTAACGGAGCGATTTTATCCGAGCCCAAACAACTTTGACCGGCCAAATTACGTCAGAATTATCAGCATTCAATACTTAACAGACCTACTAAATATCAGGTTTAACTGTCAGGAGTAGCTAGTGTTGTCACGATACCAACATTTTGGTTTCGATACCAAGTCAAGAATTGCGATTCCGATTCTTTTTCGATACTTTTCTTAAAAAAAGGGAAACGGTCTTAAATGTAATTATTGTGCTTTATTTCACACCAGAACCATAACCATAACACAAACTTTTAAACAATGAGAACAATAAATAAAATAAATGACAATAATTCGTATTAAATAAAATTAATAAATGTCTTACAGACAGGCCTCGTGGTGTCCGTAGGCTTGCCCTCACTGTCAGAGATATAGCTAAAATACTTCCAAATTTCGCTTCTGGCGTCTTTTTTGTCAACAAGCCGAGGCGCAGCGGCAGCTGCACTCCCACTTGCAGCCATGCTTCTCGTTTTCTCACATGCTCTGGCAGCTAGCGCGTGCACGAGAGAGGGGAGGCACTTAGAGCGTGCTTGAGAGGGGAGGGACTTAGAACGTGCTTGAGAGGGGAGGGACTGCAGGCACGAATGCAGTGCAGGGAGTGGAAGCAGAGCGCTGAACACACACGGTTCTTATTAAAACGGCGCTTTCTCACCGGAGTACTTTCCCCCGTCATTCTTAAAGTACCGATACTAATGAAACGGAGGAATCGTAACGTTTTTAACGGCAGGGTGTCGCGGTACCTTTCAAGTATCGGTACACCGTGCAACACTAGTCTCTCCCCCAAACTCACACATATAAAATTCGATATGAACTGAAGAGCCGCATGAAACTAGGCAAAGAGCCGCATGCGGCTCGAGAGCCGCGGGTTGGCCACCCCTGCACTAGGTTATTAGATTGTTGCCACCCCCCATCTGCTTCTCATACACACTTTAAGAGTAGAATAGAAAAACAACTATTATAGTTTGGCTTTTCAGCCCACACAAAATACACTATTTATAATGTTCTCTGTCGTCCAAAACATGAGCCATTTGTCTCTTAAACATATTTAATATAATGCTTCAGAATTCAGCATTTCTCATTATTCACATAAAAGAAAGAAAAACAGTAATTTTTACAAAAACTAATTTAGTAAAGCTGTTTGTTTAAACCCTGAGGGAAGATCTGCATTTATATTTTTGCTGGAGCTCACAATCCAATGCATTATTTATTTACAGTAAATTACTAGCTTGTAACTTTCAAAATGACCAAATCGTATTTAACAATATATTCACTTACGCTCTTCCACTATTCAATATATCTTCTAAGTTCCTGATATATAGCTTGCATGTGCACATTTGTATTTAGACAATCTAAATGTATCCAATTTAGTTTTACATTTAATTATCGTGTGATATTTTTCTCCCCTCATATTCCAGAAGAATTACAGTATGTGCTGTTTAAACAAGAGATGATTTGACCAGCCTTTCAGCCCTTTTGTCTGTGATTTAGTTGCAACAGTAAGACATCGACCCGTGAGTAAACCAATTTGACATATGTGACAAATATTCCCAGAGGAAGTCCAGTATTTAGCTTCATCTCATCGTAACATGTCCCCTGGCGTAGTTTAGCAGCAGATCACAGACTATAGGATCTGCCCTGTACCCCGTCAATTAGTGGATTATTGTTCCAGAGAATAGCTGCGAAAGGTCAGTGGCCTGTAAACTTTAATAGTTGTTTTTCTATTCTATTCTTAAAGTGTGTATGAGAAGCAGATGGGGGGTGGCAACAATCTAATAACCTAGTGTGTTTAAAAAACCTGTAAAGGTGTTAAAAAGTCTTAAATTTGAGTTGGCGAAACCTGCTGGAACCCTGTACAATAAAAAGTCCTGCATTCAAAATGTTACAAGTAAAAGTACAAAAGTATTAGCACCAAAATATAGTTAAAGTACCACCTGCAGAGGGACCTAGATGCAGGTGTTCTTTTCCCCATAGAGACGCCTGGCTGCACATTATCCCTTGCATACAGATAGATCGTGGGTCCCTTATAACATGTTGTACACAGTGGAAATAAACATTCTGGTCACCTCAACATCAGGGATCTTATCCATTAAACTCCTTCTGAATCAAACCGTCACGGTAGCCTTACCTTACTGATCCCTCTCACGTTACTTTACCAGCAGAGAGAAAATGGATTATTAAATTATTAATGTGACTAATAAAGAGCAATTTGATTATTAAATATTATTCTGTTGATCGATGTC